ACATCCACATCCACATCCATACCCACACTCACAGCCACAGCCACACCCACACCCACACCCTTATTTATTGTTTTAAATTGAATAGATTAGAATGTTGAGAGTTTTTTCCTACAGAACGTCCTGGAAGATGAATGAATAGAAAACAGACTTGCACCAATTAAATAGTAAATTTTTCATTGTGTAAATTTTTACGTGAGTGTTTAATATTAAGATGATTATTTATTTTATGTCCAAAATCATATCGCATCTAATCAACATTTGACAAAAAACTTCATGAACATTGTATAAATATCAAATTGTTTCTTGATACGAAAAAGAAATGTTATCAGATTTCTTCGATGAACATGAACAAAAGAATAGCATCTCGAACTTCACACAAAGTTAGAAAATAAAAATTGATCTCGTGTCTTTCTGGCGTCAGAATTCTGTAACCTTCTCAAAGTATGTTTGCTTGTAGTTGATAAAACTGAGATGGAGCCTAGTTTTGAAGTCAAGAATGATGTGACTTTCTAGCGTCTGTAAATGATTTTTATCGAAGCAGAATTTTCTTATAAAGACTATCAGTTTTTATTTGTATGATTTATTCTTAAGTAATACTATTCACGTCATCGACCATTTTCAGTTATGTAGCCTTCCTCGCATTGATCCGTGTCTACAGTTGGATGACGTAAGTGAAGTTAGTCTCATATTTGAGTAAATCCAGCCGATATTCGGCCCCAAAGCTGCCCAGCTGCCCCAAGCAGCGCCAGAATAGAACTCGATGAGCTCTATCGATTGTTAATGTTGGATTTTCCATAGCTCGAACCATTTGTGAAAAAATCCCAAAATACTAATTTTTTCCTACGCGGGGTGTGAATGTGGGTATGGTGGTACTTTTTCTTCATAGTCACCGACATTCACACCGACATCCACACCCACACCCACACCCACACCCACACCCACACCCACATCCACGCCCACACCCACATCCGCACCCACACCCACACCCACCCACTCCCACACCCACACCCCACCCCCACCCCCACCC